ATGTCGAAGGTGCTCTTTGTACAGACAGTGAAAACAAACTCCCTCCACTGAGGACAATACAGAATGAATCTGAATGAATCTGAATGAAGAGGTCTGTAACTGTTGCAAGAGTTGGTGAAGTAAAACTCTAAAGAATCCAAAGTTTTCACCTCCTTCATCTCATTGGCCTGCTGGGTGCGTGCGGTCTGCAGCTCCTGGGTGGCTGACTGGAGCTTTGCCTCACTGTTGAGCAGCTGCTGCCATAAGTGGCGCTGTCGCTCCTCAACACTGGCCCCAGGAGGCAAGCCATCCTCCTGAAGCCGCACAGAAATCTGGTCCAGCTCAGTCCGCACCTGAGAACACAGAGAGGGAGCTGAATGTTTTGAGACCAGATGTCATATTTACTAGTAAAGTAATCTGTCATGTTGTAAGATCTGTAAGAGTTGATAAAGTGAAATACCTCTCAGTATTGTGGTGAATCAAGAAGTATCCACAAATTCAGTTAGTCTGTAAATGGGTAGCCTTGGGCATACTTCTTGTCATTGTAAAGCTTTGCTTGTTATAACATAACACACCTCAAGTCAAGTGTCAATTAGATAAAAGCTGGTACGATTCCAAAGCTACATAAGCTCAAATTTTCAAAAATAACTCTTCTGCTGTATGCTGCTTTTCTACACCTGCAGCGTTATTATTATTAGATTATTAATATTAGATCCAGCAAACTATTCTGCAAACTGCAGCACTGATAAAAGCATTCAACATCAAGGTTGTCCGGCTCGCTGAAAACTGATCCGTGTGTGCGACACATAGGAGAGGGCCACAACATCAGAGCAGCATGCCAGTACTAAACACCTGTTGCTGAATACAATACTGTACATTGTAGGGCTCGTAACCTGAGCAGGCCCCCCATGCAGCATTTAAACTACTAGTAAGAGCGGCCACATCTCCAGCAACATGCACCATATTGTCACAAGCTGGGTATCAGGTCTCGCGCGCCTGTTGTACTTAAACATCACAGCAACTGCTCTTTGCTGTTGCCACTGTGGAACCAACGGCTAAAAGATCAGAAATGAACCGCAAACGCCATCTTCCTTCTGTTATCTATAGGAGCAAGATGTGTTAACAGACACTTTCACATGCAAATCATTCATCTTTACAGTGGCTTATAGTTTGAGCGTTACCTCTCCGTGATCCATGGCCATGCATTAAGTTTGATGAAGCTGCATCTGTGAATGATGAACTTTTGTCCTCAATGTGGAAAGTGCTGACCCCAGGCGACAGTTTATCCTACATGGTATCCCACAGAACACGGCAGAATTTGCAGTGATGTGGCCAAGATCAGCAGATCCTCAAACTTCATCACTCCCACCGTTGTTGAAATCCATCCATGGAAACGTCTCTGGCCCTTGAGGTTCTCCTGTGAACGATGAGACAGAACAATGCTGTCATGTTAGGACCTGCAGTGACAAGCTTAGAGATTAGACCAGCCAACTCAGTTTACACCAGCCACACTCCAGTTTAACAGCTGAGGCCATGCAAAGCTTCAAGCTGATTAGCTATGTTGGATCTGCTGCTATATTATCACGTTGTGGGACATTCAACATGGGCAGCAATAAGAGGAACACCTCTATCATCAAAGCAGGAGTTTTTTTTATTGTCCTGCATTTGAAAACGTTGCATTTAGCAAAGAAATCTATGCAGACCTCCTGCGATGCGGACAGTGATGCTACAGTTCCTCCCAGTAAGTTAACGACTTCTGAGTTAAAAGTCTTTGTTTTCCAGTTAACTATTCTTCCCAAAATGTCTGACGAGGAGGAGCAAACGAGGGTTTTTTTTGTAGGACAACCACTCGCATTCCTCTTGGCCACGCAAGCCCACTGCTCAGAAAGCTGTGGTCATCTCAGAACGACAGATTCGAGTTATCATAAGCTTGTAAATAACCAGCACTGACAACTGCGACTACCCGTAGCGCTAGCCGGTGAGCGAAGTTAGTTTCAAAGTTACCGTAGTTCCCGTTCAGCTAACACTAGCTTGCTAACGTTAGCCGTAGCTTTCTCCAGTGGCCGCAACTGGTGGACGCCGTGAGGTTCTCGTTGTGATAAATGAAAACTCCCGCTTCTACGCTAACTCCCTCGCAGCGGTGAGGGTGAGTATGCACTGTGCGGTTAAAGTTGTACTCACCTTTCAGTGGCTACAGGCGACAATAAAGCGGAGTGCTGAGGAGGACAGGCGTGGCGGAGTGGATTGGCTTCTACTAGCGCCTAGGCAACGGACCGTACCATTCAAAGGATGCAGGGGGGGGGGTAATCCATCAGGGACGTCGCAACGGTTGCAACCAATTAACTTGTGGTGTTAGTTTTAGTTTGGAAAAAAATATCACAAGGAATATTGTGTGAACAACAGCTTTACAATTTGTCACAAGTATTAACCCTAATGAGTTTGCTAACCGAGATGGGGCTTAGTTTAGTGTAAAATAAAGATAATGCTCCTAATCAGAATCAGAATCAGAAATACTTTAATAATCCCAGAGGGAAATGTCTTTACTCCAGATGTAATAGACATATAGTATATTAAGAATATATATAAATATATATATATTAGGGTTAACATGTACAGTTTCTGAGTTTATTAATGTATATAGCAATGTATATAGGATGGGTTAAATGCAGAGGACAAGTTTCTTTTCATGTATGTAGAATGCTGTAAATGCTGTATATACTGTGAAAATGACAATAAAAAGACTTTATCTTTTTATCTGAACCATCTTGATCTCGAAAATTAGGTGCATCCATGGCAACCAGCTAGTAATCCAGAAAAAGGTTTAGTTTTGAATGTATGTAATCTATACATTCAGTCTTAATCAATAGGCTCGTTCGCCTATAGTGACAAAAAGCTGCAGTCAAGTCAGTTTCCATCAGCCTTCAAAGAATATACAGAAAGTAAAAGGAACGTTATAAATATATCTTGCCAGTATATTCATTCATATATATTATTTATATATTATATATATATTTATATTCCGCAGACAAAGACTGGTTTAAAAACTCCTACTTACAATGCACAAGCCTTTTGCACTATTTATATTTCTAATTTCCACTTTAGTAGTTTAGTAGTTTTAGTTTAGTTTGCTTATATTTTGCACTCCATGTCCTACTTGAACAATGCATGTGTATATACTTATACTATACTATTTATAGTTTTATATCTTCTAATATTAATAATATTAGTAATATTCTTATTGTGATATTCTTTGTTTTCTGTTTTTTCCCTTCTTTGCCCTATCGCTGCTGTGTCAACCTGAATTTCTCCTAAGAGGGATAAATAAATAAATAAATAATGGAATATCTTATCTTATCTTATCTTATCTTATCTTATGTTTGTTAATATATTAAAGCTTCATTGCCCAACATGAGGCATGAAACAGTCAACAATCTAGAGTTAAATATTAAAATCACACAGAAAATTAGGGGGGAAAAGTGGTCTTTGTTGTGCAAACTAAGAGCCAATCTGCCCCTGGATCCCATCATGCCCTGGGCCTTGCGGTCGTTGGAGAGCAACTGCGGCACCTGGCTCTAAAACCTGCGGCCTCGATCTCCTGAGGTTACCGTTGCCCACGTGTGCACGACGTCACTGCGAGCCTAATATCATGCTTTAGAGACAAAGCTGTTCTCATTGAGCCATGGATATAAACAGCAGGGGGCGACAAAGATAACATTTGTCTTTTTTTATGATTCCAGCATTCAGTTCTTAGCTCAACACCCTATAATATTTCTAAAATTAATGGATACAGGTATTATTATTATTATTATTAACTTTTTTCAAGTGCAGAAATACTTTCTCAACTTAGATGTATAGTTGGCATTTTAAAACTTAATAATTTGTTGTTTTTGCAGTTACCTCCACTGACCCTACCACATGATCTGGAGCTATTTGCACAGTGTGTCCTGCCCAGATGTTTTCTGTGTGACCAGTGCACTCTGAATGCTCATTATGTTCTGGTGTAGAAATGTGAGCTATGTTGCAGCTGTGTGTTTATTTTTTTTTCATTTCTACCCCAATAAGACTGGGATCATGAATGGGTGAGGTATGGAAGAATACTCATTATGCCGGGGAGGAATCCAAGTTGACTGTTTACAGAAGAGCTCTTTTCATGTGGTTTTATGTGCCTCCAACTGCCCATGGGTGGGTCACATTTGAGTCTTTTTTGGATGGTGATGCTGTACTGAGGGACTAGGAGGCAGAGCAAAAGGGAGCTCTGTTCTGCACAGAGGAAATGGGCGTTCTCCTTGCAAAGTCTGGATGAAGTGACTGAAAAAATAAAGGGGGTGTGGCAATGCTGGAAAGGAGAGGACCACCAAGTGGGGCACAATGTTGTTAGAGTGGTGAAGCTGCTCCTAAGCTGTTCGTGAGATCTGATTCAGAGCAACAGGCATTACCCGGGGTAGGTAGATATTTCCTTGACTTTTTAAATGAATACCTTGTTAAATCATGGTGCTACTTTTAAAGCAAAGTTTAAATCAGATTTTAAAGCAAAGGCGTCATTGTAGCGATTCTGGCATCACATCTCCTAATAGGTTATAAAAGTAATGGGTTGTAAAAATCAAGCCATCAAAAAGATGCATGTTTTTATTATTAGACATTTTTTTCATTTTTAAGATAACTTATTTTAACAACCCTGCAACACGTATGTAACATATTTTATTTTTGTTATCAGCATATTTTAAAATGATAATCATAACCATTAGTTTTTTTAAACCATTTTCACATATTTTTTTTGCTTTCATTCACTTTCATATGATGGATGAGATTTAGTGTAATGACATAATTTGACAGTAATTGTGACTCCACCGCCCACCCAAATGGACCTCTCTTACAGATAAAGATCTACACAGACAATTTCATCCTGTTTCTTATTTCCCCCTTCGTTTGTTTTTTTGTTTTTTTTTGGTCTTACTGCATGTGTCCTTACTGCAAACTGAAAGTACTACTACTTCTTCCCTTGCCTCTTTTGTGTTTGCTCGTGCTCTACTGCTGTAGCTACGATGTAAAAGAGCTTTGTAAAATCACAGGCTTTCCCTCAGACTTTAATTTCCTCTGAATTCACAGGCCGAACAGCTTTAATGAAATCCAAATGTATGCTGAATTACAGACTGTTTACCCTGCGCAATGGAAAAAAAAACACCATTCAGAAGGCTAGAGAGGTTAATTGGGTAAATATTTTGGAATCATTTAGACTTCAGTAGGCCCGCCCAGGTTCTCTGCAGGTTTGTTGTACAACGGCAACACTGAAGGCCAGTCAAAGAGAAGTTTTTTTAGAAATAACTCATTGCACTCTGTTCTGAAGCATTGCAACACAGAGTATACTCTGTTCAGCTACTCACATTTTCCATCCAATGTTTTAAGGCAGGCTAAAGCAGGAACATTCCCTAGCACTGATTTTCACTTTGTAAGCAACAAACGTGTTAAACTGCTCACCTACCATTTATTTGCTAACTGTAATGTTGGATGCAGTTAACCCGGGAAGCCTAAATTTATACTGTTGTGTTTGTTTGTCGGCAGGGAACTCAAAATGGCCTACCTGCTCATGTTTGTGACCCTGCTGCATCTCATCAATCTGGCAATGCTGTTCATTGCAACCATGGAGAAGGTACGAGTCATATTTGGGACGTGATGTTTGTTCACTTCAACTGCATTATTTATCATAAGTGCAACATATCCAGCTGTGTGCATTGTGTCTAATCTCTCTTTAAAGTCCTGGTGGGAGTGGGATGGCATGGAGAACTCAGACCTATGGTACAACTGTAGGTTTGACAACGTCACAGAAGCCTGGTTCTGTGCATCCTCCAAAGAATCTGGTAAGAAACAATTTCATTTTGTACACCTCCATAAAAGGGGGCATTACACAAGTAGGTCAAACCTGAGGACTAAGACTGGTTTTTTAGATGTGGGAATAATTTCCTTCCTCAGAGTGGCTTCAGGCAGTGCAGGTCCTGATGGTTCTCTCGGTGGTCTTCTCCACGATCTCCTTCTTGGTGTTCCTGGGTCAACTGTTCACCATGTCTAAGGGTGGACTCTTCTACTTCACCGGGCTGTGTCAGGTCTTTGCAGGTAACAGTGGAGTGAAACAATGTGCCACCAACATGTCTCTGTGTCACAAGACCGTTTGGAAATGGGTGATGCTTGCTCTTAGGAACTGGGAGGGGAAGCACATGTCTGATGTCCTTGGCGGGCAAATAAGCTAAACATTAGGAGACTGGACCCTCTATTTTTTGGGTGCAGCAGAGCAAGAAAATTGTACCTCTCCAGTGCGAGTTTGTTGTTGGGAAAGAATCTGCTACCTGATACATTTTTGTACCCCTATCATTTGTACTTTTAGAAATATAATTTTGTACTGCAAGCCAGTAAAAGACACCATTAAACAATGGTATAATTATTGAGTACAATGTCTGTACCTTTAGTTTATCTTTAGTTATGGCTGAACTTGTAAAGATTCTTGTTATATGGTGGATCAGGTACATCTGAGGCCCATTATTATCACAAATATACTCTATATGGCAAACCTGCAATCATACTGACATACCTCAATTTTTTCCATGTTGAGTGAGTAACACAGCCACAGATTTTGCATATTATTAACTTGTTTTTATGTTGTTTAGCCCAAACACAACATGTAGAGGTGGGCTGGGGGTGGTTGTTGCTATCACTCTATTGTATGTAACATTAATTGAGAAGTATATGAAATAAAAAAAGGTTATAAACTTTTCCACATACCCTGGTCCTAAAAAAAATATTTTCCATTTTTTTTTAGGGCTGACCGCTTTTTCTGCAGTTCTCATCTACACATTGCACAATAAGGAAATCCTTCAGGACTCCAGAGAACTGACTGCGGGACACTTCGGCTACTGCTTCATCCTGGCCTGGGTGTGTGTACCCTTGTTGCTGTTTAGTGGGGTCATATACATCCACTTGCGCAAGAAAGAGTGACCAAGAAAAGGAAAACAATGTCAATAACACTATTGGAAAAAGATAATTAAATTTGCTTAACTTCTTGTTAATCAGAAAAACAAATTTTGCAGGAGTCACAGAGTCACAGTTGCCTATGTTATGATTTTTGCTCAGGCTTCAGTTAATGTGTTTATGTGTTTGGAAATAACCAAGAAAAATAACGGGTTATCTCTTTAGCAAACATTGACTCAATAGCAATATTATTTACAATGCTCGGCTTCTGTTTTAAGACATGTGTACTATATGAGGTTTTTGTTGTTCACTGTTGACCAAGGAAGGTAAATTCCAAAGCAGCGTTATGTATTTTCTTTTAGTGCTGTAGGCCTTCTTGGGCATTTGAACTGCTTTAAATTTTCCCTATAGAGCAGACTGGAAATATATATATTTTTGTACATGAAGCTGATATGTGGAATATATTCAATAGCTGCTTTGCGAGTTACATTGTTGTTACTAAATGTAACCATAAATTATAATAAAGTGCACAATAAATACCATACAAGTCTGTAAAGACATGATTATTTGATTATATATTTAAGCCTTTAAAAAAAAAAACTTTATTAACAAACAGGCAAACAGACAGTAAATGAACAGACAATGTCAGGGGACACAAACATAATATGTTAAAGAAGTTGTACAAGATAAATAAATGTAAAGTTTGGATTGCTTTCTTATTTTGTAGGGAGTGATGTAACGTATTGTTTGATTTCACTTTCAACACTTAACGAATAGGACATTTATGGCTGTGTGTTTTTGCAAGAATTAGGATCAAATTGGTGATATAATACGGATTTCTTTTGCTAGAAGGGTAAGGAGAAAAAACAGCCAAACAATACATGTTCATATGAGAGGGTAAGATCAGAAACAACATACTCTTTCCACACAGTACTCAAGCTTCAGCTGTGGCTTTACAAGCAGGGAGGCAGACTGCTGTGGCCGTTGCCATAGCGACCGTACACTTGCAGTTGAACAACAACTGGTGTCCATAGGTTCACTTTATGTTGGAAACGCCAGCTATCTCATCTCAAACGGACTTTCTTTTTCATAATGGAGGCTGAACCTGAAGTTTCGGGGATATCATCCAAGATCATTTCTCTTGCCTTCCCCAAAGGAACAGAGAAGTTGTGTGAACTTTGTCAAAGAGAAGCCCACCTGCAGTGCACCCAGTGTCGGGTCACCTTTTACTGGTAAGCTCGGGTTATTCACGGCTGTCGGCCCCGGTTATTCGCTGTAAACACAATGTCAGGCATTTCCAGTCGTGTTCATTTTGTGTGCGACTTGGTGAAAAGCGTGTCTACAGTTTGGACGGTAGGTGGCAGTGTTGGCCGTATTTTGTTCACGGCAAAAACACGTCGGCACGAAGAGCGTTCATGTGACTGTGCCTTCGGGAAGAGGAGGAGGAGGAGGAGGAGGAGGAAGGAACAGCTGGAAATTAAATTACCACAACGGTTATTTTCGTTCATGTGACTGTTGCCTGGGTCTGGTCGATCATTTCAGCTTTTTTTTTATTATTAATTTGTATTTTTACGTAAGCTGCATCACCTTTTAGCGGCGGTGGACGTCCCTGCAGTGCAGACGTCTCATAAGATGGTGCTCGGTGAAAAGCCTCACTGGCACAGTGTGTGAGAGTGAAGGGGGAGAGCATGTGGTCGTAGCCCTCCCTGCAGGGATTTATGTAAAGGGATGAGCCACTAAAGCCAGGAGCTTACAGCCACTTATTGTGCTTGCTTCCCTCTCAGTCTGCAAAAGGAACTTCAAGTCAAGCACATTTCTTGAATCGGATGAATTGTTAGCTGAACCTCCAAACAATGGGAAGAGGGGGAGAAAATGAGTTTTCATTAGAGCTGAACCAAATACAGTGGATTATACGTGTTGCCAGTTAAGAGCTTTTGTCAGAGCAACCTTTTTTATGTCTTTGTAATGTAATAAAGGTTAGTTTGGTTTAAAATAAAACTTTAAAGCGATCACACTGTTAGGGTTGAGATGGTTTATTTGAGGCGTTAATGAGCCAGATCACATTTATCAGGCCGCTGGCTGACTATTATCCTGAATAATATTTCCAGTGACCCTTTATTATCAGGCAGATTGAGTAGTATAATGCAAAGAAAGCTCAGCAGAGACCAGGTTTCACACACACACACACACACAGAGACACAGACACAGACACAAGCTATGTGAGTGTTAGTGTTGATGTGACGTGGCCAGATCACTGCCTTCTGACTGCTTTTGTCTCAAGAAACACAAATGCGCTGCAGTGAGCACACCCATGCTCCTCTGTAGAAAAAAAAAAAAACGCAAGGAAAACCAAGACAGTTTCCACAGAAGTGTGCAGGAGAGGAGAGCCAGATGAACAAAATTACAGACCAGTTATGTAATGGCATACAATTTAGTATGCCCTCTGTGCACTTGGATGATATTTTCTAAATGGGATAGAGGCTGTGCTTTGGTAATGTTAGCACTTCAGTTCAAACCAGCTGACGTATACTGTAAAGAAACATTTTACAATTAAACACACATTGTTGTATCTGTCTGGGAGTCTGATCCACACTTTTACCCCATTTTTACCAAGGCTGTGGTTCTACACTTACAGTATAAGATGCAACTCAGCTGTTTAGCTCATAGCAGGGAAACGGGGGTTTGATTAACAGCTTGAGCCAACATCAGCCACACTGCACCCAGAGGGGAGATTCAGTATGCACAAAGATATGTGGCTCTTAGGTGGCTTAAGGGAGAGAGGGAAACTGAAGCAGGGAGTTTGTTTGGGAACATAAGAATCAGTTTAAGTTGCAGTCGTTTTAAAAAAAAATCTTTTTGTATTCCTCAGTGATGCAGAGCACCAGCAGACTGACTGGGTGGGGATCCACAAGAGAATCTGTCAGCTGCTTGTTCCCATTCGCACCCCAACACTCTTTAGTCTCCAGGCGGCTGGTCGCATTGAAATACAGCTTAAAAAGGTGAGGGTGCATGTGAAACACTGGGAACACGTATGGAAGAATATGAAACAAACAGCACAGTGTAGGACTCTCGGTTTGACTTTGAGTCTAGTGTACATTCTCACTGTCAAGGGAAATGTAAGTTAAGTTGCCAAATTCAAACCTACAGTACACAATAATACAAATAAAATCTCACGGAGACTGTGCTGTCTTTCAGGAAACAGAATTTAAACAACAAAAACACACAAGAACCCTGGATCTTTGTTGTTACTTTCTCACTTCTTTACTTTCTTTTACTTAACAAACTGAGTGAAAATGTGAAATACATTTTGGATCGATGGGGGTTGAGAGGAGATTCCATTACATGGATGTCACTACAGTAATACAGAAGCTAACGCTGAATATCCCTATGTGTATTGTCAGTAAATAAGAGTGGTCTACTCTTGTGAATTGTTATGTAATGTTGCTGGAAGAGTAGTCGGATGAATTAATGTAGGGGAAAACAACCTGATGTGTACCTTGCATTTGGTCCCCTTACTTAGGCAGAGCTGATTGAGATTTGCAGGTCGTTGGCTCAGCGCAGTCTGTCTGAGGGGAAACACCAGGAGGCTCTGCCTGCCGCCCAGTTCTGCCTACGCTGTTCCATAGACGTCCATGGTCCCAGTACTGTCCACCTGGTCCCTGCCTATCTGCTCCTGGCTGAGGCCAACATGGGTGAGGAAGGAGCTCAAAATAGTTTTCCAGCTCAAATTGTCTCCTTTCTCCTTCCAAAATGTTAAATGCACGACTGTGTCCGCGTGCACGTATGTATATTTTTGTGTGTATTTGTGCTTGCATTTCCAGGTTTGGGTAATCTAACCTTGGTCTCGGAGCTCCTGTCCCAGGCTGAGTGGGCGGTGTTGAAGAGCCCAGAATGTGGCCACACAGTCCACCATCAGCTACACAGGAGCCTGGGCCGCCTCCACACGGCGACTGGAAACCTGGAAGCAGCTCTGCTTCACTTTGCAAATGATGTCTGTGTCGTAATTAGTACGCTCACCAGAAATGATTAGTACATTTTCAACTGTTAAATAACTTTTATTGATATCATGAGGAGCAAAATGAAAGCCACAACTCTGTTTCTGCACTTTGATGTAGAAAATGTTGTTCCTTTCATGTCATATGCACCTACCAACACTGGAAATCCCCGTTCTATATGAGTATACCTTGAAAAAAAGCAAATTTCTCTGATGTTTTTTTCAGGTTTACTTTGCCAGTGAGGAGTATGGTCTGAATAGCACAGTCACCTGTGGTGGCTACTTTCTCATGGCTAATGTGTTTGCCAAACAGGGGAGGATGCCTATTGCTTGTTCCTTGTACTCTGAGGTAAAATAAAAACAGATCTGATGTGATTATGATCATTTTATTTTTTGTTCATGTGTTTCATGCTTTATCCTCTATTGCTGCTGTAGGTGGCACATACTTGGCACTGCCATCTGACCAAACTCCTCAAGACCCACATCCAATATATCCAGAATCCTGACATGATGTTGGAGCCCTTGTATGGTAAGCTTTGTCAAATAAAAGATGTAAGTAAGTAAAATATTATAGAACTGTGCAAAACTACCAAAAAAAATATATAAAACCATACATTTAGGTTACGTCCACCTTTCCAATTTGTCCATTCTAACAGTCCACGGTGCAGTATTAAAAAAATGACATCACCAATCCATCATTTGCTCCACCCGCGAAACAGCGGAGAGATCCATTGGCGTATCGGTGAAAAAATAAGGTCAACACTACTATATTTAGCTGAGCTGTCTTGCTGTGCAATCTGGAAGCTAAACCCCAGATTTACACTACCATGCTTAGGGCTGACTAGAGACCAGTGCTGACACATCTCTGGCTGTGCAGCATCCGCACCAATACCCTCTATCGAAGCTGCTGGCCTACATATGATGCTAAGCCTGTTAGCTGCAATGCAATTTGTCGGGATTTCTGGGATGTTTACCAGGGGCAAATAGTTATGCAAGGGAAGGATGTTTATACAAACAGTACAGACACAAACATTTAGTCCTAGTGTTTAGGTATTTTGTATACAGTGTATTATGCCCCTGGTAATATACTGTTAAATCTCAAGGACATTTGCATTTTGTCTCTATCTGTGACTTCAGACAAAGCCGAGCAGGTCGAAGTGGACGAGATGTTAAGAGCCATGTTGGACTTTGAGCAAAATGGCTCCAGAAAAGACTCCACTCAGATTGCGCTGGTGGCCCACTGTCTGGCCATGCTGTGGTTCCTAGGAAAAGACTCCCTAAAGGTGAGGTGACCGCGCATTAAAGGTTCAGTATGACACAGTGACACATTTTCCCTCTGCCCCCCTTTAGAGGCCTGCCTCAAAATGAGATTATCTCTAATTGGTAAAGCCGCAAGGAACAGGTTCGAATTAGCAGGTGTTGACCGTCTCGACACTCTGACTTCCACCTTGGTTTTCAATCTCTCTGTAATACCACCGGAGGCTATTTGTGTGTGTAAAGTCCACCTCTTTAGATGTGAGAGGAATGAGCAGATCTCTAGCGTGTCAG